AAAAAGGGTCCAGATCGGGCAATATGCCTCGTTACATTTTAAAAAACAACAATTAGGGGGGGCTAGTCTAGATCTGCAGGGTTTGCAGGATTGTCATGAGTAGGAGTCTCGACCTCTTCCCCTGCATCGTCCTCAACCTCCGACTCTAAAAGCTCAAGCTCATTGACAAGCTCATTAACCTTCTTTAGATCCTCGATGAGGGGGTTCGCATCTTCAGGCAATTTAGTCCTAAAAAAGGATCGAGCTAGTCTCAGGCCATAATGATATGACCATGAACCGTCATTGACAACCTGAGTTTAGGCTCTGGCAAGTTCTTCCTTGAACTTTTTATTTGCATGGATGAGTTCGAGTTTGGCTTCCTCTACCTCATCCTTCGCCTCCCTGATCTGGTCGATAGCTTTCCTCTTTTCAATCACGCGAGATCGCGCTCAACCTCGAGCTCTCCAATCCGCTTTTCTTTTTGCTCGTTCATTGCCTCGAGCTCTGTCCCTTTACTGGATGCTCCCGTGCTCTTCATAGCTAACCTCTGAGCCATGCCCAAGGTCTGTAAAAGTGGACAGTTAAGGTCAGGATAATAACTAAGAAATACAAAGAGTAAGTTCGAGGAATAAACCATACCTTTAAGGTCATGAGCTCGAGTGTCATCACCCCCTCACCTGGCTCGGCCTTATCGCGGTACTTGTTTACCAAACTCGGAATGAGTGGAGATTAGGCATGTTCCTCCAACACCGAGCTTGGTAGAGGCACCTCGTCTTCCATGTTGAGTAACTCCGGAATAGTACGGGGAGTTGAGGCACTCGTTAGAGGAGATAGTTGTGACAGAGGAGCTGGGCTCCTCGATGTCTGCCCAATCCCACTGGGGATCTTGCTTGAGGCTCCATCTCGAGCCTGTTTCTTTCCCTTCGACGGGGCAGGTACTTTTGGCTTCAAGCCATTAGCCTTGTGATGCATGCTTGCCAGAAACTTGGAAGGATCGAAAGACATTTCCAAATCTGCAAAAAAGAAGTGAGGCATTAGCTCGACCTTAGTTCGGGAGATAATAGCATAAAAATAAGAGTCCAGGCATGTACCCTCGATTTTCCTCACATTGGCGAGGCCGAGGGTGTCATCCTCAAGAAAATAATCAACTTTAGCTGCAAGGGGGTCGTGGTTCACTAGTCTCAACCTATATCTCTCCAAAACCTCGAAGTATGCCTCATCCTCATTAAACATATCTTTGTCGGGACCTTCCACATCAGTTTGAATGGGTGGTCTGGGTTTTGAGGCTTAACAAAAAAGAAACGCTCTTTCCAACCCCGGAGAAAGCTTGGTGTGTCTGTTGTCCTATACCACCTTGGTCGATAGATACACAAAACAATTGTACCCCGTAGAGAATTTTAAATCAAAAACCATCCTTAAGAGGTCAACACTAGGCTCTACCCCGAGGCATTGACATAAAATGAAAACATAAACTAAGAGCCTCCACCCATTCGGGGCCTATTGGCCTGGGCATATAAAAAAGGAGGTCAGGAAGTCGATGAAGAATGGATGGAGAGGCCACCTAAGCTCGGCCTTAAGGGCTTCCCTATAGAAGTTCATTTCTCCCTCTTAGGCATCTAAGACAGTTTCATTTGGTTCGAGGGTCCTAACATCGCAATGGGGGCATAACCCTGAACTCCCTAGCGACTTTAATGATCATGTGCTCTTTATACTTGGTCGCTCCTTTAGGGTAAGTCAAAATTGTCTCAATCTCGAGATGACCTGTTATAGGTACGACCATTGGTAAAATGGACTTATCCTCATCATTGGGGCTCCTAGTGTTCGAGGTCCTAGAGGATAGACTACTACTACTACTCGACCCCTCGCTATTGCTACTCGACATTATGAAACTTAAAATAATAACTTAAAAGCTCGAACACTTACCTCTTAGATGTTCTCGCTCATAAGACCCTCTAAGGCCCAACCTCGATATGCTTTTACCGAGATTTGAGAGTGAAAAAGTGAAAAATGAGAGGTGAAAATGGGGTATTTATAGGGGTCGGAGGAAGGTCAAAGGTCTTACAATCCTGGCTTTTGGATTATGCCACATGTCACCATCTAAGGTCGATATTGCTCTTCCCTACACATGTCCAACATGTGTCAATATAGTTGTCACGCACTCGTGCTGTTCACCTCAGTGCATCCTATCTCGCAGCCCGGACTTAGGACTTTTAGCTGCAACCTAGATGCATGGGGGCCTATGATGTGTATAGAAGTAGTGTTGCCCAAACTTGACCTTATGGGCCAAATCTGAACCCACCATTATTGGACTGATAGTAAAGTCGGGTCGAATATTGAGGTCGGGTCTTATCCCTAACTCACCAGTCTTCTTGACCTTATCGCACGTTTCCTAGGAATGCTAATCCTATCTGAATACAAACTCCTAACTTATTACAAATTTGATTCTAACCCAAACTGTGCACTTCTAACATAACCCAAACACCTTGTACAACAGGAATAAGTACTATAGGTAGATGAGTCCTTTTAGGACTCTACCTCCCACCTCTATAAATATGTGACCAAGCCTCATTATTTAGGTACGTTTTTCAATAATATCACGACATACAATCTTTTACACAATTCCTCTTTCTGACTTAAGTATCGGAGGGGCGATGATGACACACATCGACGCCTTTGTTTTAGGTATTGAAGAGAGCGATCAAGTGGAGTTCAATCAGCTAGTTCGAGTTCATTCAAGTGCAAGTTTTTGGTAGCATCATAGGTCATGAAGGAGTTAAAGATATCAAACATTGCTCAAGGAGAAAAAAAGTCGACGCAAAATCGCTCGCTGAACGTGTATGGCACGCTTGAAAGCTCAAAGCCATGGTGCTTGAGTGACAAACTCGTCGCTCGCTAGGGGGGTGGGGTCTGCTCGAGCGGCTTATTTATTCGGGAAACCCTAGTTCACGAATTTAAGCTGATTTTTCAATCATATTTAGCCTCAAACACTTCATATTAAAAATATTCAAGTGTAGTTCTGTCCCAGAGTATGTTGAGTCATTATTTCATATTAGAGAACATATTATTGAAGATCCAAAACACATTTGAAAGATCCCTTGATTCAAACACAAGATCAATTCTTCATAATTATTCCTAAGCATTACTTTGCCATTGGTTGAACCCTTGTTTCATATAAAAATAAAATAAAATCCTTTGAATATCAAATACACATTTCATTTTTTTCTTGCTTCAACCAAAGATTAGAACACAAAATATCTAATGATCAAGCACCAAAAACCCTACTTCACCTATAAGCGTTCAAAGTTTTGAAGTTGGAGAAGAGGAGCTTGGAATTTTAGGCTTCGGCGCTCCAGAACGAGTTCGTTCTTGATAATCCAAATGGAGGGAAAAGTAGCCTAGAGTTGCTGGAAAATGCAGGTTGCACAACTGAAAAGTTTTTCGGGGATTTACAAATTGGGTGGTCAGAGTCAGCTAAAGTTTAGTAGTATCTGGACCAATTTTAAATCAACTTTTCTAGTGGATCTTTTTGACAAGATTTGTCCGGAGATTTTTTTTTTCATTTTAAAGAGTTATTCAAAGGGTTTCCTTTTGTTATCAATTTTTGGTGTTATTTACTTTTTATTCTTTTGATTACGTGTGTGATCATTTAACTTGAGGTTTAAATTTTATTTAACCTTAATCATCTAAAAACAATAAATAAGTGACATGTCACTCTTTATTGGTTAATTCCGCATATTTCTATCTGAACGAAGTGATATATATATTTCTTACAATCTTGTTTCAATCTAAATTAATGTGGTAACCTATTATCAAATTAAGAACTTTTAATTTAACTGATTTATATTAAGCTAATCTAACTAATAAAATTAGTGGAGGCTTTTGGGATTAAGTAGTGAAGAATTCTGATTTCACTTTAAGTTATTTAATATTCATTTAATCAAAATTTGTTCAGCCCCTTTTTCATATGTATTAACAATCGAATTAATCAATTTTAGTCAGTAATCTAACTTGAGCAAAATTAACTGTATTCACACACCCGAATTTACTATATCTCTTTGTAAATTTATATACATGTAAAAGTATTAATTTATAGGAATTTAATCAAGACCAAATAAGCTATAATAATCTCTCGATCTCTTATAAGTTACTTATTGCACGAATTAGACAAATGAATCTCCTCTCGGTCTTAATATTGTCCATAAATCAAATAATTAGTGATCACTCAATTGAATGTCAATTAAACACACAATAAATAATTAAATCAAAGTTGCATGAAATCAATTGAATTAAATAAATATTAAATATAAGCTATATCGTTCATTCCAAACAATCAATTATTTAGACAATCA